CTTTTACTTCGTGTCAAGCTGCGGGAACGTTGCTACTCACTCGCTGCATCGTCTTGCGGCAGATGCCAGTCCCAGACGAATGACAAGTCCCATTGTCCGCCTTGCCAGGGTTGATTTTGCATGCGATCATAGGCAAGTTGTGCGGCACGGCTGTCGAAGAATTCCAAGTATCTCGCATTGGCCTGCAGGAATGCATCTGGCGGACGCCCACTGCAGAACACGAAAGGGCTGTCAACGACAAGCATTCGAGCCGGTTAATCGCGAAGCAACTCCGACTGAGACTCACTCTGGAAGCTTGTGGATGCGGAGGAGACGTTTGATGTCACCGAACTCTCCAAACGTGGCTGCAACAGCGGGATCCTGAATTGACTGTTGAGGATTCTGAAGGAGCAGTAGCAAAGTTCCCTGCGAGGTCCCGTTGAAATGATTGAGAGGCAAAAACATTTATTGCTGCACAACCTTGTGACTTACTTGATTCTTGTCGCGATCGCAAGCGGCCACTCGCTCAGCCTCCTTCGGTAGACAGTAGTGAATAGAGATCTGAGGCGAAACGGCATGTCAGTACTTATTAGTCCCTGCATCATTCTGCTTGGCCGCCACTGCGGCACTCACTGGTCTCCCGTTCAGCTGCAGACCTTGCAAGCCGTTCATGGCAGCAGTGGCTTGGCGACTATCGTACTGTGGGAAGGCACGTCGGGTCGCGACCAAACACGTCGCTGTTCAGTCTTCGCAACGCTCAATATAAGGAAATCGAAGCGACTACTCACGTACGTGACGAACAAGATGCCGCGTTTATGTGAGGGTGCGTAGCAAGCTTTGAGTTCTCCATACTCTGCGAAACGCGTCCGTAGATAATCGGGATCCGTGTCGTAATCGATGCTACGAATGAACAGATTACGACCGGGTCGCTCCGGATCTTGGCCCCGAGCTTGCTGCGCCGCAGAAGCGTTTGGAATGAATTGCGCAGCGGAATACATCCTTCCGCCTGGAGTATCAGCAGCGATCGGAGCTGAAGGTGGTCTTTGGTTCCATCCGGAGCTCGCGTCGCTGCCATACGACACAGCCGACGGATGACCGAGAGGTGGAGGACGTGCGGACGAAGCTGTGTTCAAGAAGCACATTGGGACGCGAAATGATCGTCGTCAGTCAGCGGATCTTTCGCTCTCAGCTGCACATCAACCGCGCATATGCGCCTCTACCGGGCAGAGTAGAGTGCCACCGTGAATGATCGACACTCGGACCCGAGGGCTCTGTGTGCCGTGGCTCGCTACGGAAATCCAATCACCCAGTGACGGCTGACCCTTTTCGAGCGGAAAAAGACAAGGGGGCCGCGGACGCGTCAAGCAGCAGCCGCATCTTGCGCATGCTCCTTCCTCCTCTTCATCATATCCATGACAGCTCAACCCAGCTACGCGCGCAGAATCATGACAAATCGAAGCGCACCTTGATATGATCCAGATCCGGAAGAGCCGCCATACGGCGTCGCAGAAGAAGCGCTTAGAGGCGGTGGTGCATGCGGCGCCACACCTTGGACCCCGTTGCCATAGCCCGGTGGCATTGAAGGAGGCAGACCACCCATCAGAGGTGGAGGGGCGCCAGGCATGCCACGATTTGGCGGAGGCGGCTGACCTGGAGGTCCTGAGTTGGGC